TTGGACCGACCTTGTGTTAGGTTCAAGATCATTGGACATTAATGATTATAAGCATGAGTCAAGAAGAATCTCTCAGCAACCACAGATACATTCTCTTTGACATGGAAGGTGTTTTGTGTCCAGCATGGGAGTAGAAACTTTATAAGTAGAAGTGTTCCAAAAGTTTACAAATTGTGTAAAAAAGTAAATGTTGTCATTGAGGATTTTATTCAGAAAATAAGAAATGCTACGAAGAAATTGATTGTATAGTCTTTGAAATTGAGACTTATTTGGTTAAAAAGATTGTTACTAAATGAAGGGTTAAAAGAAAAGTTGGTAATAAAATTATTTGGTGGAACATTGGTCTTGAAAGACAAAAGAGAAGAGTACGGGCCTTTAGGAAGAGTTTTCAGGTAAAGAATATTGATGATGTTACTAGATTAACCCCTTGGGTACGGATTTATTTAATAAAATGCATGTAGAACGGATATAATTTTTGGTTGCGATTCATCAATAGCTACTTCACTATCAGCAGTATAGAGATAACAAAATTTATTATTTAGGTAATCCACTATATTTCTAACCTTTCTTATTCTGTCATCTTTATTTTCCTTTTCATTATCCGTAAAATGTAGAAAGCTTGAAATATCAAAAAACCTATCGCGTGCCATAGTGCTGGCAAAAATTGGAGTACTTATTGCATATCTTTTTGACCAATACATATGCATTTTTGGCTTCTTCATTTGCGACATCAAGATGCATAATGCAATATAAGCTTTCATTTCATCAGAACTTACAGAAAACAACCTTCGGTGTTTTATTTTTTGTTTTTGTTACACAACCTTCTTCTTCTATCCCTTGTCTGGCATATCCATTCGTCTTCGGTGTTTTATTTTTTGTTTTTGTTACACAACCTTCTTCTTCTATCCCTTGTCTGGCATATCCATTCGTCTCGTCTACTATAGTGTCCCAAAAATCTTCATTCAAGACTTCTTTCAAAACATCTAAAGGTGTAGGATTATCACCTAGTCTACGCAGGCTTAAAGGATTAATTCCAGATATTTCAGAAAAACATTTTATATCGGCTACATTTTCTTCTTCTTCCTAAATCCATTCCTCTGATACTGGTTCACGAGAAGATTCACTATCACTGCTCGATAGACGTCTTGTGCGTCTTCGAAACCTTGGTTTTATATTACAATTGTCATCATTTTCTGGTTCACGAGAAGATTCACTATCACTGCTCGGTAGACGTCTTGTGCATCTTCGAAACCTTGATATTATATTACAATTGTTATCATTTTCTAGTTCAATATCGTCTTCATCACCTTCGCTTTGTATTTCATTGTAATTGTCAAATTCAGGATCACTAAACAATTCTTCTTTAGATTTCTCAAAGTCACTTTCGCTATCACTATCATAAAATATTTCCTTGTTTTTGACATAATGGGGCAGTGTATCGCAAATAATGTTCACCGAAATAGTCTAATTGCGTCTTCTATTATGACTGATACAAGCTACAACGAAATGAACAGAATTTTGCCTAACCTCAAATAACGTAGACACGTCATCCGCTCCTAGGGAAAACAAGTGAATGACATCTCTCAGACGTCAAATGTACCCAAGAGTTTAATTTTTGGTTTGACGTCTTAGACACGTCATCCGCTCCTAGGGGGAAAAAGTGAATGACGTGTCTCAGACGTCAAATGTACCCAAGGGGTTAAGAAGGAAAATTAGATATAAAAATTTATAAACGTTCTGTTAGAGAAACAAGAAAGAATAGTGAGATTAAATATTTTCTGGATTGTGTGAATCATTTTGATGGTTTCTATAAGACTGCAGCTGGAAAGAGTAGACATAAAGTTATTGTCAAGAGACCGGAGGGCGTTGCTGGAAATTTTGAAGAAGTGAAGAAAGCTCATGCTAAAGTTTATTTTGATTTAGATTATGATTTTTTGTTTGATATTTCGAATATTGATGATTCCAAGTTAAAAGATGATGATTTTGTTTTACTCGTGATGAAATTGCTGGAGTGATTCGACGTCTTAGAGAATAAAGCTGCACCTGGAATTGACGGCATTCATTCTGTGATTGTTTAAGACTTTATTTGATTTATATCCTGATTTTTTCAATACTTTGTATAATGCATGTTTAAAATATGCCATATTTCCAGGCACATGGAAGATAAGTAAAAATCATATTGATTCCTAAGACCGAATGGAAAATCAAGGTAAAATGCTTTATTAAAGATATTTGGAAAGGTTCTTGATAAATTGATAACTAATAGGATGATGCATTATATTTTTAAATATAATCCTTTCCATGATAGTCAATATAGTTTTGTTCCTGGTCAAAGTACATATGATGCCCTTTTTCGAGTTATCTCATATATTAGAGAACATAGGGTTAACCAGCACGTTCTTCTTGTCTCTTTTGACATCGCTTCTGCGTTTGATAACGTGGATTGGGTCTCTCTATTGGGGACTCTTCAAGATTTGTATATACCCAGAAATATTTTTTATTTGATTTTGGATTATTTTAAGAGTAGAAGAGTGTATTTTAATTGCTTTTCGGACAGTAAATATGGGTTCACTTTTAAAATTGGTAAAGGCTGCCCGCAGGGTTCCTGCAGCGCTCCTCTGTTCTGGAACGTGATTATGAATAAATTGCTTCAATGTGAATTTTCTGGCAAGGTGGAACTTGTTGCTTATGCTGACGACGTCGTTGCATTGTTTAGGGGGGGACTCACTTGAAAAAACTGGAAAAATTGTTCGATGATGAGACCTGTGCAATTTTTGATAATTGGAGTAATGGGTGAAAAATTGAATTTTAATATGGATAAGACACAGGCTATGTTTTTCCCGAGGGAGGACGTGTGGTGAGACCTCCTCGAATTCGGTATCATAATAGGAGAATTAAATTTATGAAATATTTAGGTGCTGTGTTGGACTATAAGCTCACTTTTGTTGAACACTTTAAGAACGTGCAGCGAAGAACAGATCACCTTTTACTTGCCTACAGAAGGAACTTTGCGGGCGATATTTTTGCTAAGAGATCTGGTATACTATTGGTTCTATATAAAGCCGTTGTATTACCTATTGTGATGTATGGAATTGGCGCCTGGGGTTCCAGAGCGGGAGAGCTGATGAGGCTCCGGAAGGCTCCAGATGAAGTTGGATTCTATACAGAGAGCTTGGGGTCTTGCAATTACTCGCTGTTTTAGGACAGCCCCATGGAGGTGGTTTGTGTATTGGCCGGACTGCCTCCCCTCTCAGTTTATTACTAATTTTATTACAAGAAATATCTTTTACGTTCTGGAAATATTGATATGATTTGTTTTGATTCTAATATTATTACTAAATATGCTTTTGAAAAATTTAATGTACATTTATTACACCCTGTAAATAGAATCAGTTTTGGGTTTGATAGAGAAATTCCAAAAATTGGAATATATGATATTTATACGGATGGTTCGGGGTTAGGAGGGTGTACTGGAGCTGTTTTTTGCTGTATTTTTCAATGATGTTGAAATTGATTATGGTTTATATAGATTAAATTCTTATAATTCAGTATTTCAAGCGGAATGTATTGCTGTTTTGAAGGCTTTGAAATGGATTAAAATGAATATTAAAACATCTGTTACTATAAATTTGTATACTGATTGTTTTTCTTTGCTCCAGTCGCTCTCTTGCCCCGATAATGTTAACTGTATTATTATGGATATTAAATTTCTGTTGCAATCTATCAGTTCTACGATTTCTTTTCATTGGATTAAAGCCCATGTGGCATTTTTTGGTAATGAGAGGGCTGACTGTCTGGCCAAGGAGGCATGTTTTTCAACTAATGCACCCATTGTGGAAATTTCTGGTTCTAGACAAATTGCCATTATGAGTATGAAGAAATATTATATAAATATATGGAAAGATGTGTGGAAAAGTTCAACAAGGAAAAATAATTTGTTGATTAATATTGAAATTACAGATAAAGTTTTAATCTATGATGACATTGATATGAATCAGATTATCACCAGACATGGTAGGTTTCCTCATTATTTAAAGAGATTTCATGTACAAGATAATGATCTATGTCCAAATTGTAATGTTTTGGGTGATGCCAAACACTTCGTGGTGGACTGCCAATTGACTGATTTTATTAGACGAAGTTTTAGTGATATACATTTTGATTTATTGAATTTTGATTTTAAACATTTGAAATTATATGCAAGAGAATTGATGGCCTTTATTAATGGCAATAGACGTGCGATTGGGGTTTTTAGCTAAGTTCGTTTTATTTTCAATGTGTTTATTTTAGGATGTCTTTTTCGTCATATTTTGATGATATGTGTAACTGTATGTCATATTTTCGTTGTGTGTTTTATGTGTGTTTTCCTTCCTTATTTTATGTTATCATTTTTACTAATACAATTTTCTTGATTTAGTTATTTTTAGTTTTCTTTCCTGTTGTGTCGTTAATCCAGCAATTAAAAAAAAAATTATATAGTTGTATGGCAACCTTGCTGGATGTATAATTATTATTTTCTTTTAGTTGATTATACTAATATTTTTAGTTCCTCGGAATACCAGGGTTGGTTTCTTGGAACTTTGAATCTTAAGTTAAATGCTGAAGTTGCTTCGTGTATAGTATCTTGGATTAGTTGTTCTTTTTTATTAATCTGGCATTTTAACTTTTGTTGGGGGACTCTCCGGGTCGCTGGCTGCCTTCGCTTGTGGTGTGAATGGGACGCCCCTTTTTGGACCATAAGATCACTTTGTGATCAGGCGGGTTGGGGCGTTCTAGGGGGGAAAAAAACAGATGTCACGCAAAAACATCGTTAAATTGCATTCGATAGCGGTCAAAATGGATATTTTCGTTGAAATATGCTGCCTGAAACTTTTTGCGATTACAATACTTCCTTTCTACTTCGTACAAAGAAGTAAAAAGGGTACCAATACATATCGTCATTTCACTTTGCGTACAATAAAAAACTGTATACACTTACTTAAGAATAATTATTTACTTACAATAAGTATGAGTATTTCCACTTTCTGGAAATGTCCAGGCTGGATATTTGATGGTCCCAATGCATGTTAGTCTCACAGTTACCCCTTGTTTCAACGAAAGGGTTCCATCAGACATCACTTTCAGGTTTCCATCGAAAAAAATAACTGTATCACCTAAAAAGTACGGGATGATTTTTCAGTAGAAAACCAGTTAACTTCTCAAAATTATATAAGAATGTTTAAATGTTCTATTTAGGAAACTACAAGCCTGTTTGCTGTAAAATGCTACACTATTTTACAATTGACAATATATGAAGTCCTTATGTTTCGCCAGCTTCTTTGTTCTATGAATTATTTGTAGTATTTATCGAAGTCTCTTTGCTCAGTGAAATGTTTCTCGAATAATGAATACATGGTTAATAATGTATAAAACAATGTAGTAATTAATAATCTAAGCCTCATGTCCATAACATTGCAAGAAATTTCTCACACAAATTATTTCTTACACAGCTAAAAAAAATTTCCTACGTGGAAACCACATGATTTCCTTTCGTGGCCAAATAAATTACATACACTTTTTGTGATGCATTTCATTTTAACTTATTTCTTCAAATTTCTTTACAGAAATATTTGTCATTCAGTTAATTCAGTTCTCACTTCGCAGCAATGCAAAATTACATAAAAACTCAAAACATCCTCATTGAAATTAGTAAAATACAGAAAAACATAAAATACCAAATGTTATTAGGATAGCTAAAAAAGCAATTTTTACAATTAAAATTAGAGTTTCTGTGCAAAAACATTCAATTCCACCAGCAGGCAAGATGGCAGATTTTTCGGTGCTGCACAAAGCGAAATGTTTATGCTCGGTCATACTCGGCAAAAAGGCACTGAAAGTGCAAAAACCGATTTAATTCAATATTCCACTAAGAGTTTCAAATATAAACAAATGACAGCTTCTTGGGCTTAGTACCATTTAAACAGCTTTTAAATTGTTGATAATTCTACAACAACTGTACGCAGATTAACTAAAGGCATAAAAACCTTAACCGAAACATAACAATATAATTCAATCACTTTTAAAGCAGAAAATGTACAATTTAACATATAAGAATACAAAATCTGAGCTCACTGAGGTCGGGTAACAAAGTGGCCTATATATATATATATATATATACATCTATCAATCTATCGATCTATCCATATCTGCCTGCCTGCCTATACAATGCCTATATATATACAATTATATATACAATTAAAAATATATATATACATATATATAAGTCTGCTTCCAACCTGTAGTATAATAGCTGAATCTATCATTCTAAAAACTATGCTGAGGATAAGAGAATACTGATTCATGAGCAATATAGCTTTAAAAGATACCACTCTACTGTTCACCAACCATACGGAGTAACGGAAATGTTACCTTCTGGACTGCAGAAAAAGCCAGCACAGCAGCGATATTTCTTGATATAGGTAAGGCATTTGACTGCGTTTGGCTCAATGGACTCATATACAAACTAATCAAACTGGGTTTCCCAGATTACATCATAACAACACTTTGTTCTTATCTCTCAGATATATACTTTGCGTTCGCATTAAATACAATCACTCTGATAAACAGAAAGTGTTCGCTGGCGTCCCCCAGGGGGCACCTCTTGCACCTTTCCTCTATAATATTGATGCGAACGATATACCACACACTCAGAATATAACAATTGCTATGTATGCTGATAACTCGGCGAAATCTCCCACAGAATGCATCTATTAGCTCAGCTATCCAACATCTTCAAATTCATATCAATGCACTAGAATCCTGGCTAAACAAGTGGAAAATTAAAATCAATGTTGATAAGACTCAAGCAGGTATCTTCACAAGGAAGAGAATTATACCAGAAAACCTGATATTTTATGATATCACCATTCCCTGGGCCAAGGAAGTTAAGTACCTCGGTGTAATTCTTGATCACCACTTTTCATGGAGCTCCCACACTAAACACATAATTTCGAGAAACTCTAACTCTAGAAAATTAATTAAGTTTCGAGAAAGTAAAATCAGACTCAACCCTTTAATATCTCGAGACAGCGTTTTAGCAATAGACCAGAAATTACTCATTTATAAGGCTATCCTGCGGCCAGTTCTCACTAAGGCCCATATCACACGGCGTTTGTTTCACACGAACAACTGTTTCGGACAATTTTTTCTGCCTGGTTTACTATTGAAAGAAAGACGCGCGACTTTTTCCTTCCTTTCCAAAAAAATTGCAGGTTGTTCGTTTTCACCCAATCAGCTATCAGCTTGTTTGTAGTGGGGAACCAGTTAACCCCAAAGCGATTTTGATTGGCTGTTGTGACAAAGCAGAAAAATTGCTCCAAACAGTTGTTCTTCCGAAACAAACCGACGTGTGATAGCAGCCTTATGCAAGTCCAGTCTGGGGCTGTGTCTGGAACACCACTTTACCGGAGACTACAAACACTTCAAAATACTACTCTTAGACAAATCACCAACTGTCCTTGGTACATACGCACAGAAAAGATACACTCAGAATGCAATATGCCACTTATTAAAGACATTATGAAAAAGCTGGCCAAGAAATTCTGCTTAAACTTAGGAAAACCAAATAATCCCACCATCCCTGTATTGGATTATGATATGGATGCTCCAGAAAACAGAAAAAAGGCCTAAAGCCATCCTCAGATCTAATTTTTAAATATAGCTTATGCTAATAGTTTTCCTGTAATCTCTGTAATCTTCTGATTAGTATGTAACCACTAATCTTTATCTAAAACTCTAACAATATTAATTATATATATATATATTAATAAAAATTTCATAAAAAAATCTTAATACTCTGCCTATTAGGCATTATCATATATCAAATTCATCGTCTAAATCAATCCCATAAGGATTCATTATTTACTTAATTGTTAGATTAATTTATTATCATCTTATGCAGGCTACTTAATTTTGCCCCCACCTCCAACCATTGGATTGCCCTTCAAAATTGTATGGAACTGGAAAAAGCCTAGACCCTCCCCCCCTAGCACACTGATGGTCTATCTACCCTTTAAGCTCCTCCTTCGCATCAATTAGATCGACCAAGGAAGGGTTCTATTACGGGGCTCTTAGGCATGTAGCCTTTATCCCCACATCGTCAAAGAATTATCTTTATCGCCAAAAAGAGGGTTCCGCAAAGAGGTAAATTTAGTGCCAAAATGTTAATTTAACAAAAACAGTAACTGCCTTCCACAGCCAAAAAAGGTAAAAACACTGAAGGACTTAATTTAGTAATTTTGGGGTCAAATAAGGCCCAGAATCAATTTGGAGGGGTAACATAATGAATTTTGAAAAGCATCTATGCTTCCTTGATCAATGGTCATGTGGGGTTAACAACACGAGAGCGGAAACACTCGCCAGAAACTTCATGTCGCAAGTGCTTAGGGTCTGGGGGAGGGGAAAAGCGGGAACTCGTTAGGCAAGTTTGAATTAACGAGACACGGCCAGCAATGCCTCTGAGGAGAAACTTTTATAACTATAATAAGATTGCATTAACTTTAAGTGTTATGATAACTAATGAAAAAGCATTAAATTCTCTTAAAGAGATTAAATTTAAATTAAGTAATCCTTGCACCAGAACCCTTTTAAGAAGGGAATAAAGGTGTGCTTAGAGCCTGATAACAACCGCTTATGGTTGAAAGAAATAAGATTGTCCGATTACGGGGACCCTGAGGGAAGCTGTAAGATCAGCCAATTCACTCAGGCGGGAGGGAAGGAAACGAGTGGATTGAAATCTTCGAGGCGCCTCGTCTCCATAGCAACGCCTCTTGGGAAAAGAAAGCGCATTATATGCGTTCTCCAAAATAGCTCTGGATGTCTTTTCTGGCGATGCAATTCCCGGATGATAAATAGGGAGGCTGTGGAGTACGGGGTTTCCGATCGAAGGAAACTTTTGGAAAAAGTTAGCCGAAAGTCGCTGTATAAAGCGATTTATGGGGAGAATTTTGGCTGCATTATGAATGTCCTCGTTCGTAACAAACCAAGGAGCTTTATAAATTTGCCGTAGCATAATGTTCTGAAAAATGTGGATATGTTTCTTGTTCTTGTAATTGCTGCTACGCCCCATACCGGGCTAGTATATGTCAGAATTGGCCTTATCACTGATTTATAGAGCAAAATCCTGTTTTTCGTGGACAGGTCGCTATTTCTAGCAAAAAAAGGCAGTAATTGGGTTTTGACATTGGAAATTGTTTTTTGAATGTGAGGTTGCCAAGTTAATTTTGAATCAAGTATCACTCCTAGATACTTATAGGTAAGAACCCAGGATATTGGTTCTCTGAAGAACTGCAAGTTAGGTAAATTTGGGAAAGTACTTCGGATAAATAAAGTGGCAGCACATTTAGCGACATTAATTTTGATCTTCCACAGTCCGAGTCAGAGCTCTAGACTTGAAAGATAATTCTGCAATGGAGAAATTACCGTGGAGATGTTAGAACGTTGGTTCATGATGGCTGTGTCGTCCGCATATAAAGCTAGATCGACATTAGGTATGTCATTTACGTAGATGTTGAACATTTGAGGTCCGAGCAAACTTCCTTGTGGAACCCCAACACAGATCGGGCGGGGACTTGAGTATTCATGGCGAACTCGCACCCGAAAGGATCTACCTGTCAGGTACGAGTTGGTAGTTTTAATGAGTTGTGCAGAAAAACCAAGCCGCATGAACTTGTAAATAAACCCGTCATGCCAAGTCCTGTCAAAGGCCTTGGCAATGTCAAGATAGACAATTCCAGTTTTCTCTCGTTTACGAAAGCCCTCATGAATGAATTCCACTACACGGAGTAACTGGTAGGCCGGAAGCCAAATTTTTCCGGGATTATTAAATTTCGATCACGGCAGAATTCATTCAGGCGTTTAAGTAAAACAAATTCATATATCTTTGAGAGAGATGATAAGAAGCTAATAGGCCTGTAGTTGACGGGGAAATTTAAATTTTGACCCGGTTTTGGAATAGGAATGACTGCGGCAACTTTCCAACAGTCAGGCAAGTAACACCTTTTAAGCATCAGGTTAATCAAGACCGTAATCCATACAATATACTTAATGGGGAAGTTTTTGATCATACGCATTGCTGGAAATTTTGATAGGGGGTAGCTGTACGTTCCAAAATAAACCGAAAATCGTCCCACTTTGTTGAGACTTGCTCCTCTAATTTTGAGTATCGATTTTGAATATCTAGGGTAATCAAAACAGGATAGTGATCAGAATCTAACTCTTGAATCATTTTAATTTCATGCCGAAAGTAAACATTATAAAAGCAGCCAGATCAAAAACTGCGGGGGACCCTCTTACAGGCTGTGATCTATACATGGGAGCTCTGAGCCCATGAATTTAGACTAATCCCAAACCTGTTCGTATTAGGACAGAACCAAGCGGTATGGCATGAATTTAGATCACCAGCAATGATTAGGTGATTTTGAGATTGCGAGAAGTTTATCAAAATCACTGACAGGAAAAACATTCCTCCCACGAGCAGCTCCTTGTAGGAGAAGGTATGCCGAAACAATTGTAAGGAGAATTTGGTATAAAAATTTTGATAATAGTCGCTTTCACATGTTCCAAATTTAGGGGGGGATCATGTGATGTTTAATCGAATGTTTCACATAGATACAGGTTCCACCATTTGCATGTCTGCCATATGACACCCTGTCAGTTGAGTATACGTCACAGTTCCCAAATCAGGGAATTCACCCTGGGATAAAATGGGTCTCTTGGACCAAAAGTACATCAAGATCTTGCTCTGAGAATCTCTCACTTCATGAAATCTCTCACTTCATGGATCTTATTATAAATACCATTTGCATTACAAGTGCAAACGGAGAGTGAGCGTTTTGTGACAGGTCTTACACCACGTTGGGAGTTGAATTTTAAGCCATAAATTGTAGGTTCTGCAAATATAACAGGAGACGTAGGCCGAAAGTTTAGCCGTATCATTCTGAAAGTTCAATATAACTTTCATATATATAGAATGCTCTCATTAAGGTGTCAGCCTGCCTAAGCTTTGGCATAGCCTTTTTGAAAGCAAGAAGCAGAATATACTTGTCTACTGCTGGGTCGCAGGATATGTCAATCAAGCATTTTAGAGTGGAGGCGAAAATATCGTCCGTGTCGGCACTCTCTGGTGAAGTGACTGCTGGGGTTACAGCTTATTTTGAGCAATAAAAGGTAATTAACCCTTCGTAAGTCTTACGTTACTGTTACTAAACTTAAGCAGTTATTCGCTTAGCTGTTCGCTAGGTTCCCCCACACTTAGTTATTAGACAAAAAGGAGGAACACCATAAGGCAAAGGGATGTTAATTATAAATAGGACCAATCAGCTTCATAAGCAGGACTTTGCAGCAGAACAATGAATCAGCAAGCAATTTTTAGTCCTCACAGAGAATGAACAGTCTATTTATGAAAAAAAAAAAAAAAAAAAAAAAAAAAAAAAAAAACACTTACTATGCACAGGTTCCTGGCACTGAGGATACGCAGCAAAATGAAAAGGGCGACAATCTATGCAGGTCATTTCCTTTGGACCCGTGAAGCGGTAGTATCCAATTTCTTTGCAGTGAAATTTTAATGTGCAGTTGAACTTTACTTTATATCCATTCTGTACTTGTTCATTTCCGGCATAAGCTACCAAATTCTTATCCGGACTATTATACTCGCAGTAGCAACGTTCTGCCACATTATTATTTTCAGCGACGGACACTGTGTGAGGCTGGTCTACTTCCTTACCGTCGGCACCGGAACTAGTTGGTAGCTGCGTTGTTATCCTCGAAAGCTTTAGATTAGACTCCGTAGACGATAATTCAGCTACGGCGACTGTCCTCGGCACTGATGGTTTTGATGTCGAAGCAGCTGTCACAACTGCTTCCATGTATGGCACGCCATCTGGGGGGGGGAATCTTTTATTAGGCTCTAAAATTAAATATTCTGAACAGATATGTTCACAATAGTGCAGGATAATCCGAAACTCGTGTACATCAAACTTCGATATAACGATAAGGAAGATGGTAGAAAGCGTGTGCAGCCGCCGAAAATCACAATTCTATCATTTCTAGCAATTTACATTTAGCAAGTTTTTGTTTTTATTCTTTGAAATTGAGGTGTATACTCTGCACACACACAAATGGGCACAATTCTATAACTCCTGTTCTAATGCGCCAATTGATGAAATTTATCTTGCGTTTTTCATGTCTCGAAGGCTAGACATAGAATATATATTAGATTAGAATATATACAGAGCATTGTTCCCACATAGGTATTTTAATACACAATTGGACTTTTTCTAAAATGACATCTTGATTTCTTTTCCATATTTTGATTCTGAGACTCAAATTATGCCTAAATTTTGCACAATTTAGTGAGAAATTTACGGAGAAATTTAAACATTATCTTAGCTCATTTTTTTCAGTTTGCGCCAAGAATAATTCACCTCCCGAAATTCATAATTTATGCTAACCCCGTTTTCCTTTCCCTTTCACTTTGGATGACAGGAAATAAAATGCGCGTTGTCAGTTCAAGTAATTTTAACAAAGCGCGTAAACCACATTTGGCGTTATCATCGCATGCCATAATATAAATTCACGTATATCTTGGGAAATTTTGAATAAAAAGCTCTAATTATTTGCATACATAGAAATTCATCTACTTTAAAATGACGACAAAAATTTTACAGATCATAAATTCAAAAGGTTTTTCGTAATATTTATAAAAATTACTAAAAATTGAAAATAAAAAAAAAAATCAGAATATAGCCGCGAATTTTACTTGGATTGAAACAAAATTTCGAATTGTGAAAGATGAAATCATGTAAGTTTAATAAAAAAGAGACACTAATAAATATACACCAAATTCAATTAACATTGAAGAGCTAAAATTTTAAGAGTTAATTTTTTTAAAAACTACTCGTTCGATTTTTAACAAAACTTCAGTATAATTTGAATTGAAATATGTAAAAAAATAGCTATGTCCTTTAAGAAAAAGGTCTGATTTTATACCAGAATATCTATGTTAGAACAATATTATATATAAATTTAATACATATCCTAAGTTAGGCTTTCGAGATATTATAGAGTTCCTCACTTTTCACGTGTCCCAGAGACGAACGCGCACTACCCAGGATTCCTAATTCTCTCTCTCTGTCGAAGTCAGGTGAACTTTCCTTTAATACTATGACTTCCTGATTTGCATTTAACGCGTTTCTAAAACCTCATTCTGGTAGGGAGTTGTAAGTTGAAACGAGGCAAGATAGGAAATGTTAACTAAATTAAAATATACCCTACAATATATTAAAAAAAAAACTAAATTTCGTCAATTGGCCCATTAAGAACAGGATATATAAAACCATACTCCCCTTTCTTTGGTGTAAAGAATACATTTTATATTTTATTGGTTGACCCATATGTTATACTATTGTGACTCCGGGGCTTATTTAAAGCAATAAATATGAAATTAAATGCATAAAATGCTATTTAAAATTTTTAATTTTAAATTTTATTTATTTATTTCATTAGTATTTTTTAAATATTTATTTATATCGGGGAAGGTGATGATACGCAGCTTGCAAATGGAAGATTTCAAAGGCTGAACTGGAATGTTGGCAGAAATATTGTACGAACGCAACAGAAACATTTGATAGACTATTCAAAGTGTCTCATGATAAGGTCTACAAATCCAGCAGTTTAACTACGTCAATCTGCCAGAATGCCAACACTATTTCTCAGATTGTGACATATATACCGGAAACGATGTTCCAGCATGATGATCCCCATAAAGACACAACAGCGCAGAAGGAAATACGAACTAGCATTGAACAATATTACACTTCATCCATTGCTGATTCTGAGCCTCTTCCAACAAGTAAGGAACTGAATGATGTAATCAAAAAGCTCAATCCGAGTAAAGCCCCAGGTCCGGATGGGCTTGATAACGGCATTCTCAGAGCTACGTACAGCACGCAAGCGCCAATACCTTTCTCCTATCTACAGGCGTGCTGGAGAATTCGCTACATCCCAGAGGGCACAAAAATAGCAGTAGTTGCCCTCTTCCTAAAGGGAAATAAAGATCCAAATAAGGCTCTTTCTTATAGGCCCATCTGCCTGCTGCAAGCCATGGGAAAAATCCTCGAAGGAATAGTACTTAAAAGACAAAATTTTTACATTCATGCTAATAAACTCATAAATACTAGGCAATATGGCTTTACAGGGTTCATAGCCACATTTCAGTTAAAAAAATAAGCACCTATAAGCACTTTTCAAGCACATTTTAAGAAAAAAAAAATAAGCACCTGTCTAATTACATTATACACAACTGCATAACTGTAAAAATTAAACTCGTAATTTAAATATGAGAAATGCAGTATTTATTAAGAGAGAATAAGCATTACCTCAACCATGGAAAGTAATTACTTTTTTTTTTAAATTTTAAATAACATTTCAATTTACAGAACTAGTTTACAATGAGAGAAAAAAAAAAAAAAAACTATGCAGGACTAAACTATACTACAAGATTTAATGATGAAATTTCAGTTCAAAATAGAGGAAATAAATAATAATAAGGCATATTTATTCTATTCGCTTGGAACTTAATAATAAATACAATTTATTTTTCCACTCGATATTTAACTAATCTAAATCTAAATTCTGAACATTTTCTAAATTTTCATCGTATATCAGTTTTTCCTTAACGGATATTGCAAGCAAAGTAATTTAAGTAAAAAAGAGGAACATTTCTGAAATCGGAAGACAGAAACTTGCTTCATGCAGTCATCTTTTAACAGTAAAAGCTTAACTACCCGCATACTTGAAAATTGGCTATTCGGACAGTCGAGCGTAATTTGAAAAAGAGGAGCGGAGGGGGGATAGACTGCAGCCGTTCTTTGGACTTTTCCGCTAAATAAATGCTTTTTACATTTCGATATGTGCATCAAATAAAAACAAACCAACGGAACAGAAAAATATTCTGCTTAGCAAGCACAGTAAAACTCTTTTAAGTGTTCATAAACAAATTTCGGACCGAACATCAAAATTATTTATCTCTGCACAATATCGCAAACGTTATTGCGCAATACGTGCACCGGAATTCTTCCCTACATGATATTATGCAATCGGATTCAACAGCTGTCGGTATTGGGAGAATAAAGAACTAAATAAAGGAAAAGAAAGACTTACCAATCTGGGGTGTTTTTCATTCTAATTTTCAACAGACTGCGTTAAATTTCTGGAATAGAATCATTCTTCGCTTGGGTTGGTAGACCACAGAACTTTTAGTCCTATCCTATTGGAAAGTGACAAAAAAAAAAAAAAAAAGGTCCGTTGTTTGTTTTGCAGCGAACTGTAACAGTTTCAATTTTCGAGATTTTGCAGAGAAAGGGGAGAACCTCCCAACCTTCGTACTGTATAATGTGTTGTTTTTTGACTATTCGATTACTTTCCCTTTATTTAAGCCGTTCCGAATATTATTAATTAGAAAGCTAATCTGTGTTAAAACACAACCATTTTTGGAAGTTTACTATACTTCAGCAGTTACTGCAACTATGTTATTATAAACATTCATACATATGCTCATAATATAAGCATAACGATCATAATAATCACGAATATGAACTGACCAAGCGGAACGAGAATGCACATTATTAAGATCTTGATAGAAATTCAAACGTGTGTAATATTTGGGTGGGAGGAAAAGAATGCTGAATGTATTGGAATTTTCTACTGCTTTCGCAATTCTTTGACCAACAGAATGACGGGCACCCGTCTGTACTCTCCGCGCATACCAAAGGTTATGTTAAGGCAGAGAAAGGAGGAAAAGCTATTTCCGGGAGTATGATTCACCATCTGACATTCCATATTAGGAAGAAAAGTTGTTTATTTAGTTTCAGCTTTGGTACGGGGAAAAACTGCGCGTTCATTAAAAAAAAAGCACTAAAAGCAAAAAGTAAGCACTAAAAACAAAAAAAAAAAAAAAAAAAATAAATAAACGCTTTAAAGAAAAAGTAAGCACCTACAAGGGCCTTTATATTTTATTTTCAAATATAAGGACTTATAAGCACTTATAAGGACCGCTACGAACCCTGCTTTATAGCAGGAACGTCAGTGGATCATGCATTGAATCACCTACGGAACACGGCACTTAGAAACAATTAGAATAAACTGCCTGCTGTTGTCATCAGCATAGACATTCAAGGTGTCTTCGATTCATTATGGTGGCAATATTTTGAAATGTCTCAAAGACATCAATTGCCCCAAAACTTTATTTGATTTGATCTACAGCTACCTGAGTGAAAGATAAATTCAAGCTACAACGGACGGAGGCGTCCACATGCAAATGATGACGAAAGGCTGCCCGCAGGGCTCCTGCCTAGGTCCAATCCTGTGGAACTTGGTGGCCAGATACCACGCTGAACCTGTTTGATGATGATGATGAAACTTGAGAAATTATAGCGAATGCTGATGACTTCTTGTTTATTTCAAACGGACACAGCCACAAAAGTTGCGAGGTAAATTCCCAAAAAGCGTTAGACAAAATAATCTGCTTAGGCAGTGAACATAAGCTCACAATTTCAACATCAGAAACAAAAGGAATGCTGATTAGCCCAGGAAAAAAGCACGAGCATACCCCGTTCGTAAACCTTCATGGCAGAAACATACCATTCGTGAGACATTTCCGCTACTTGAGTGTGATTATAGACGGCAGCTTCTCCTGGCTGGCTCCCTCACATCAAGGATCTTAAAGAAAGGCTGTATAAATTGTCTAATACAATGCGGAGAACAGCTGCTGCTATCTGGGGTGTCTCCTCACAGATGGCTCAAGACATGGTATGTCACGCTGAGGGCATAGCTCTTCATGGCGTTTCCATATGGGGGCATCAATGTCACGATTAACATGTAACATGCATTGAACTCCGCGCAAAGACCATTTCTTCTGGGCATCTGCAGAGGATTCCGTACCTCTCCAACAACTGCATTAAATGTATTGGCAGGGCTTCCGCCCCTGCACTTGATAGTACAAGGCGAGAATGTTGTGGTGAGAGCAATCAGACAAAAACAAGGCGTTACTATTTGGAGTAAGACTTATGTATCCTTGGACTACGAGAACCACACTGCCACTCTCCTTGCCACCTTGCAAACTTTGATACAGAAGTAAACTGTAATCCTACACGTGCATTACAATCCTCAGCCGTCTACACTGATGGCTTGAAAGGAGAACTCGCGACTAACAGTGCCTGTTGTGCAATGGACGGTGACCACATAATCCATTCCTGGGCTAAGAAGCTTCATCCCAGTAACTCGGTGTTTCAGGCAGAACTTACAGCCCTAAAGGCATCTCTGGACTTTACTGCTACCAATGGCAGGTTTAAAGTAATTTACACGTGCTCAATGTCAAGCTTGCCGGCCATCCAGGGCGGCTACAGTAGACACTCCATTGTCAGAGGCATGCAAAAACTTTTAATTTTATTCCTGCAAGTCTGAGGCCCAAGCTTCAATGGGTTCCAGCCCATACGGGGATTAAAGAAAATGAAGCAGCAGAAATGTTTGCGAAAGGCGCAGCCAATGAACCCCACGCGAGTAGCATTAGTGTGCCCCTTCCGCACTCATATATGAAAAACGCTCTAAAATGCAAACTAATGAAGCAATGGCAAAATTGGGAGACAAGCACCACAGGCATAAGACTGTATAATTTCCAACCAAACATTAACCAGAATTTAAATAACAGTTCTTCGCACCTCACACAGTATCTGACAGGGCATGGCCCATATATGTCCTATCTTTACAGATTTCGCCTAAGAGACAGTGATCAATGTATTTGTGGCAGCACTGGTGACGCAGAACACCATCTGATTGCCCGCACACAGCGAATTCACATTTAAAAAGACTAGCTGCAATCAATATGACGGCGTGGTTAAAGAACACAATTAAGAATAAATATGAGCTCAGCCGCATTAAAGACTGTACTACCATTGCTAAAAGCATTGCAGACAGCCTGGAGTGACTTCTTTCCTCGGACACCGTGCCATCAGCAGAACATCTGTACATGATTATATAGCATATCCTTAATATATCTGTATGCTAACATGTACCATAATAGCGAAAAGCGTTCCCCTTAGTCTCAGAACTCCCTACCATGCACCTTCTTTTCATGTTCTAGACCTTATTTCAATGTTCAATTTGTTTAGCATGGCCAATTCCCAGAGGATACAGTACTAAGCTCTTTATTTATATTTATTTATGCATTTATTTTTAACTCCATCGACAGGATCCAACAGACTGGAAAGCACCTAACCCAGTGCGCTAACTGTTCCGTCGATCGCGAAAAGAAAGTAATTGGTCCTATAGGTATCGTAGCCGTATCCAGCCTTCATGTGCCTTCAGTAATTTCGAGAAGCACTACAAATTTCTGGGCGGCCGAGGGAAACTGTATAAGAACGTCAAGAGAATGAGTTTCTCAGTAGTTGTTAGTACAGAGCGACTTCGGAGCACTGAGATATCCGTAAGAGGCGTTGTGTTTAACGTTCTTAGTAGTTTTGAGTGCAACTATTGATTATACCCTTTGATACTGAGAAGAGTTGTACGAGTATTTTTGTGGAAAGTTCCAGAACTGTGAAGTTGTTTCTTTTGGTAAAATAAATTGTATCTATCTATCATCGGTTCTGTGTGCATTCAATCCATTACGAAACCGTACGTACGCAACAGTTGACTAAAACTGCAATTCTAAATTACTAGTAAACGGAACAGAACAACACGCTGCTTCACATCAGAAAGTTGAAAAAAGAGCGCAATTTGCTATGTTAACTGAACTTAGGTTTTTCGGAATCTAAGTCTTTCTCCTTTTGCTGCTATTTCAATAAAAGAAAACCACTATAAGCAGCATCTTGTTCCAAATACATATGTCTTTACGACTTTAATTATTCTTTAAATTCAGATAAAAATGTTAACCTAAACAATCACTCAAGAGCCGAAAGTGTTGTCGTGGCTAATGTAAAATCAATGTACTGTCATTGGTTATGCTGTGATTTCTTAGCCAGCACTTTTTCTTTTTACGTTTTTATGTGATTACGGCAAAGCCTCCAGGGCTATTTTCCTAAAAGGAGAGATGCCTTTGCAGAGGACTTTCTAAGGAAAACTGGCTCGTCTACACGTTACACAATGGGAAAACCTTAGCCAGCAAGTGTTTAAAAGTGACATACAGGAACCTCAATTAGTTGGGAGAAAAATCGCTTTTACAGTACACCTTTTTTTAGCATTATATTCTCCATTTCTAAACTTTTCATACGAAAAAAAAATTGTTGGTGCTCCTGAGGTCCGGATACTGGACGTCCGGCTACTGTGTTAAGCTGTTTTAAGGACTTTATCTTCAAAAGTTACAGAAAAGCATAAACCAAAAATGAAAAAGTAATGCTTACGAGGGAGGCAGACTGGGTTAGGGTACCATTTGCCTTTCTGGCATATTACCGCAAGAGCTGATGAACCCCCTAGAACTGAATATCCATCGAAGCAACGAAGATGATACATGCGACGTGATGATATTTCTGTTCCGACAGGTATCTGCGATGAAATAATATGCATGAATATCTACTAAAGAAGTACATATTAATTTTAAAAACGAATTCAAAGTTTTCACCTACTAATTATTATAATAATATAAATTATACAGAAAGGGGTGCAACCTGTGCGTCACACATACACACACGCATAATTTCTTTCTTTTCTTTCATTTGCAGTTGCTCTATCATAAGGAAATTCACTAAATAAATACTCTTCGATAATTCATTTATCTTCTTCGAAATGTATGTTGTTAGCAATAAATACGTGCAATGAGTTACGAGAGATAATGGTGCTGGTTCCAAAATAAAACTAATTAAGTAGACCACACAAATATTTAACTATTTACATAAACGTACAAAGTTACACGTTAAGTGCTCCATTAGCACAGACAAAGTGGAACGAGCGAACGCGCCATAGGTCCACTGGGTACATTCTTCAACAACCAACTAAACTAAATTTGGCTGCTCTCACAACAGGGCATTGATCCTTGGAGAGCACTATATTAAACTGAACATTCCGGCCCCCATTGAAACAAGTTTCAATAATGCCATAAAAATTTACAATGAATTCAAGTTTACACATGCATATAAAACACGCAATAAAATGGAATTTAACACTAATTATTTCAATTACAATTAAAATTCAGTAGCATGTAATAAAAAATAAAATGTCACACATACAAATATTATACTTGCACTAAAGAATAATGTCCATTCATAACATAAAAATTTTATATTTGATAGTTGTCTGGTCAGGGCAAAATACTTAATTTTGTAATAGGGCTTTTAATAAGACCCTTTGCCATGCGTACACAAACTACTCTAACTCTTTTATCCAATTCGGGTATAACTTCTGTAACTTGACCTAAAACCCAGTGACAAATAGGAAAATTGTCTTCCTTTACGAGCACCATAGTTCCAGATTTAACGTTATCTTTTTTAAATTGCCATTTCGTTCGCTCATGAAGTTGCGATAAAAAATCCCATTGCCACCTTTTCCAAATATTTTGAGCCATTTTGGTGACTCTTTCCCATCTGGACAATGTCAGGCTTATTTATAATTTCTGGTTCTACAGGGGCTGTTATAGAATGGCCAATTAAAAAATGACCAGGAGTTAACGCATTAAAATCCCTTGCATCTGAAGAGAGAGGTGAAATTGGTCTGGAGTTTAATATTCCCTCTATTTGCATTACTAAAGTTACGAATTCTTCAATAGTTAATTTTGAATTCCCAACTGCTTTTTTTAAATGCATTTTGAACGATTTAACGCCCGTCTCCCAAAACTCACCAAAATGTGGTGCTCTAGGGGGTATAAATTTCCACTGAATCTCCTCTGACAACAAATAGTCAGTTAATCCTTGTTCTGGTACTGTGGCTAATTTAAACAGCTTGCTTAATTCATTTCAAGCTCTACGAAAGTTTGTAGCATTATCGCTAAATATGGTTGAGCTTTTCCCTCTCCTAGCGAAAAATCTCTTTAGGGTAGCAATTAATGCCTCCGAAGATAAGTCTGAGACAATTTCTAAGTGAATTGCTTTTGTAGCAAGGCACACAAATACTGCAACATACATTTTTTGAAAAAACTCCTTTTCTTTGACTTTTTGCCTTTATAAGAAACGGACCACAAAAATTGAGTCCACATTTGTTAAAGGTTGATTCAATTGAACTGTCACTCGTTCAAGCAGGCAGAACATCCGTTATCTGATCTATTGGTATAGGTCTGTGTTTGAAACACTGTACGCATTCATGTACTAGTTTTCTAGCAAGATTCCTGCCGCTGATGGGCCAAAATTTTTGTCTAAGAGTATTCAATTAGAGCTTCTGGTCCAAAGATGCAAATATTTTAGATGATAATAGTACATGATCAAATATGTCAACCTATGTCTTAGCTGGCAAAATGATTGGATATTTACAATCATAACTTACCTGAGATTGCGCCAATTCTGCTACCGACGCGTAAGAGATTCCATCATTATCGATGAATGGATTTAACGATTTAAGCTTGCTCCTACGAGGTACCTGGCTATCCCTCTTTAAGTGACTCAATATCAGAATAAAACTCACCTTTTCTGCACTTCCTTAATCGAATGTTAACTCGTTAACTCGGCCCCTTTCCGTTCCTCTAAGGATATAGGCCCTGAAACCCTTTCCTTATTCCTAATGATTCTGAAGAACCTAAAAATAAAACTACAAATTTTCATTAATTTCATATAATTATTTGTTCGATTTAAGAGAGAGGTTAAATTAGAATTATTTTCTAATATTGCAAAATTAGAGTCTGATAAACAGTTTAGTCCCTTGACATAGTCCTTGTCAGTGCTAGGTTCAAGAGGTTGTTCTGGATAATGCATATCCTAACGGAGAAGGTCTGGTTCCATTCCACCAGATATCACAAGCTTAAGAATGTCATTGGCATTCCAGTACTACGCGATATGACATCAGCTGCGATTACATTCAGATGGCACATATTTCCATTGGTATGACCCCCCGTAAGCTCTTGTATTAAAGCAACTCTGTTGCTCACGAAAGTTTTTTTAGTAAGTGTTCGGTGATTTTCTAATCCAAGCAAGAGAAATCGTAGAAATCAGACCAAAGAATTACTTTTTCTGTTTTAAATTCAACGAAGATATCACTTTATCCATCAATCTGGATAATAGAAGGCAACCTGACAGTTCCAATGTAGGAATTGATAAGGTTTTTATATGTGCAACTCGTGACTTGTTACACAAAAGTCGAACGGTTGGCAATCTCAAAACTAGTAAAGCTTGAACATAGATTGCAGCTCCGTATGCCGAAGAGGATGCATCTGCAAATCCATGGAACACTATGTGATCTTCCTGGAATACAAATCTAGGAATCTTAAGATTACTTAGTTCAGAGAGCGTGGATACGGAATTAATCCACTCCTTGGACATAGAATCTGGCAAAGTGTCATTCCAATCGAGTTTAGCAAGTCAGAGCCTTTGCATGAATATTTTGGTCTTTGTAACCGCTGGCCCAATTAAACCAATGGATCGAACTTTCTCGAAATAAGTGACAGAACATCTCGTTTACTATAACTGTTAGAGTGAGTAATAGCTATTGTAGACAAAAACAGTCAATCTGAGGATTCCATAAGACACTAAGAGTCTTTACAGACGAAGATTCTTGCTGCTCTGCAAAAGTGTATTCTGAATGAGCGGTAACCTTATTTTCAGACAAAAGGAGATCTGGACGATTTGCACGCCATTTATGCAATTCCATTTTTCCTAATTTTAACAAATTTATTAATTGGGATCGTAGAACTCTAGCTTTTTCGAGTGATGATTCTCCAGAAAGTATGTCGTCGACATAGAAGTCAGTAAGAGCGACGGACGATGCTAGAGGCAAGTTTTGGCTTTCATCTATAGCTAACTGTTTAAGAGCTCGAGTTGCTAGATAGGGAGCGTTTGACGTCCCATACGTTACAGTGTGTTGAGCTTATAAAGTTTGCACTGGTGCATCAAGCACTGTCCTTCCATAGAATTCTGAGCAAGTCTCTTTGTGGAGGATGGACTAGAATTCTGTCGATACATTTTTTGTACATCTGCTGTGAAGGCGTAGCGGTTAGATTTTATAACATCTAACCATTATAGAAAATAACTCCTGCTGTGGAATTCTGCCTTTCAACAAAATTTCGTTTAATAACAATCCCGATGTTGTGGCAGTTGAGGCGTTAAAAACCACTCTTAAACGTGCACTACTTTTCTCTGGTCTATAAACCCCGTGTTAAATATTTGCATAATCGTCTGTAGTAACGGCAACCGCCGTCAATAAAAGGTGGTGCTTTTCTTGGTAGCGGTGCAGTTTATTTTCAGTTCGAAGCAGTGCAGACCTGCCCAGAGGAGATTCGAGGGGATGATAGTTTCCAGTCCAGTCCAGTTCAACTTAAATGGCGAGTTATGCCAGAGGGACCAGACGGATTTTTGTCCTTATAAGATGTGTTCTTTTCCTCAGTCGCCGAATAGCTGACAGTTCAAGGCATTTCTAGGAATTTGAATGTGCGGGTATTTTTCCACCTAAGATGTTAAGTTATCATCATTTTGGAAATTTTAGTTGAATAAACCTTTAACTTTGGACAAGGTTTGTGTTCTTCAGAAAATCAAGATTCGAAGTCAGATATATAAAATAGCATTAACATAGGTTTTAACGTGAAGAACCAACATTGGTAAAAAAGGTGAGGCAGGTAGTACGAATCATTTATGGATTCAGATCCCTCAGCTAGTTCCATATGCTTTAAATCCTTGTATTCTTGCATGAATTCTGAGTACAATCGTTGTAAATTCGAGTCCGGACCCAATTGCTGCCAAACTCGATTAAGTCATTTCTCTGCTAAATTTCTAGATTCGCCCAACAATTCATGGACATGCATACAACGTACTGACCTTCAGAGGTTCTATAAGTCTCATTAAAATGTTTTTCGCGATATTTCTCTTCAGTACTAAGTGCTGAATCCGGAAAATTAATATTTTCTACCTCCCAGAATTTTTGCAATGTTTCTTCAATTTTTTCATTTTGTGTAAGCAGACCACAGTACTGTGATTCAAGTGATGAATTATGCGCAATACCACTAACTACGAATCCCAAAACCGTTTCTGGAACAATAAGTCTTTTGTCGTGCTGCCAACTTGACCCGATTTTAATAAGCCAAAGAAACATTCTGCACCGAATAATAAATCAGATTTCTCAGGTGTGTTAAATCTGTAATAGGCTAAGGAAATATCCCTGGGGATGTCAATATTTTCAATAGGCATGGGGGTAAGGGGTGTGATTTCTATCATTTTGGGAACAATAAAAAAATCAAGTTCTCTAGAGAATGTTTTTCCGTTATTGGCAATTGAAGTCCTCAATTTATAATTTAAAGTAACATCGGTTCAATTTAGTCCTGAAATCGGAGCAAAAAACCTTTGTTTTTTTAATCCCTAATTGTTTCGCAAAAATAAGCCGACACACAGTTAATCTGTGAGCAGCTGTCAAAAAGAGCCTTTCCTTTGATGAATGTCCCCTTCGAAGTTTTCATCATAACAATTGCAGATGGCAAGATAACACTTTTATTCTTAGCTAATAAACAATTAGAAAGACTCGTCGCCTTCCCATTAGGCGCCGGAGGAATATCCCTATTACTCCTTCTAAAAATATCATTTCTGACAAATTTTGTTATTCTGTGGCTATTTGTGAAAAACGGATAATTTTGCTTAAGCCTATGATCGGCTATTAACAATGAAGAAAGCTCAGATCGTGTAAATTTACGAATGCTAGAGAAAAAACTTAAACATGATGTCGGGGTATTAATTTTTTAAATTTAATAGTTAAAAATACTTTGTTTCTTTACGTACCACCTGTTTCTCTTGTGCGTACCACCAGAGCTGCGATTCTCCACTGGTAAGCGTACCATTGGTTGAGAATCGCAGCTCTGGGTTAAGCAAGAATGTAAATACGGCATAAAAAAAGCATCAACATAAACAAACTGTTAGAAACTTAAATACGTCACCCTGATTAGCATATCAGATAATCAACAATTAATGGTCCAATACAGATTTACAACTACAGTTTTAAAATGCTCATTATATTCTCACAAATAACATAACTAATCACATAGCTTCAATGATAAATATTTGCATTTTCCTTACCTTTTGAGCCACATTTTTGTACATGATATACTACATTCAAACCCCGCTATAACGAATCTGGCTTATAAAAAAGGAAATTTTTAGTATTTATACTTCCTTGTACGAAGTAAATAGGAAGTATTGTAATCGCGAAAAGTTTCAGGCAACATATTTCAACGAAAATATCTATTTTGACTGCTATCGAATGCAATTTAACGATGTTTTTGTGTGATATCTGCGCGTAAGGACAAAATAAGACACCTTTCCTCCAAAAAAATTATAAAACTGCTTTAAAATTAATTCTGAAGAGAATTTTTCGTGGCGTCTGAACGAATGTATGTACGTACGTATCTCACATAACTCAAAAACGAGTAGCCTCAGAATTTTGAAATTTTGTATATAGGACTGCTATAACATGTAGATGAGCACCTCGTATTTTGGTTGCAATCGGCCGCACCAAACGTATATAAATATATTTATATATATATCCACTCTGTTACCCGGCTCAGTGATCTCAGTTTCTTTACTCTTATATGCTTGTAAATTGTACATTTTTTGCTTTAAAAATGACTGAATTATGTTGTTTTTATCTTTAGGTTAAGGCTTTTATGCCTTTCGTAATTCTGGAAGCAATATTTGTACAATTATCAACAATTTAAAATCTGTTTAAGCGCGGTTAAGTTTTAAATAACATGGCGGACATATTTGTTTACATTTGAAACAGCAGAATTGTAGATTTGTTGCCAATCTAGAGAGACTAAGCTTTGCAAAACAAAAATAATGCCTTCATTTATTATTGCGAATTAAATGATGCTTAATCCTTTCTGGAATTTTTTCGAGGAAATAAGTGTTTAAAATTTGCGTTGTAATTTTTAATGCAGATATTTTGAGTTTTATGTATTTTTTTGCCTTGTCGCGAAGTGAGAGCTGAATTAATTGAATGAGAAATACTAAATCGTCTGTGAAAAACTGTTTCTTTTCTGTTTTCTTTGCTTAATTTCTTTGATACATCGTTTTAGCTTTGTTATAGTATTTGAATAGAACATGTGGCAATGATAAGAGAATTCTTCAAATGATATAAATTTTGTGCTTTCAGACTGTTGTTATAGTAAACAAATACAGTGAATTTTAAAGAGTGCATTTATTCTATTGTGGTTTATGCACAGTCGACGAAGTAGATTTAATTCAATCCAATCAATTTAAATGAAATTCAAGAAAAAAACACGTATAACTTAATATTACGTACAAGGAAGTCATGTTGTATACACATCAGATTTTTTTTTTTAGTTTAATTCAGTTTCAGTTTAGTTTAGCCTAGTTTTTTTTTAGTTTTTTCAAGTCCAGTTTCTTATAGTTTAGTACGGTATTTTTTGTTTAGACTTATTTACTCTTGGTGCACGTTTTTAATTTTGCACCAAGAGCATTTGGCGAAATTGTTAATTTTGGATAACCTATTTTCCTTGCCTTTCATTGTGCATGAGAAGGAAAAAAGGTGCATAAAAATCTGTTTACACATTTGACGTTATTGTTGATTAAAGAAAATGATGCCAAATTTCAAAACGCACTAATATGTTAATTCACATATATCATAGGAAATTCTAAATAAAATATGCTTAGAAATACACATACTTTAAGATGACGGTAAACATTTCATAGGTTATAATTCAAAAATTTTTCGAATAATTTATAAAAATTATTGAAAATATAAATTTAAAAAATAACTCAGAATATAGCTGCGAATTTTTGTTGGATTAAGCCTAAATTTTGAACTGTCAAAGAATTTAAAGAAAATTCAAAGTAATTAATCAAGTAAATTTAGTAAAAAAGGGATATTTATAAATTTATACCAAATTCAATTAATACAGCATAATTCTGAATTTTTACAAAATCTGGCACTTAATAATTTGAGTCGTAGAATCAAAATATGAAAAAAAAAAAAAAAAAAAAGAAAAAAAAAAAAAAAAAAGAGGTGTTCCATTTTATGTCAAAACACCTATGTTAGAACAACGTTATATATGAAATATATCCTAAATTGGGCATTCCAGATATGAAAAACACAGGTTAAACTTTGTGAAACAACCCAGAAGAACAGGAGATAAACTGCCCTATTTTTACTTCCTTGTACAAAGTAAAGGAAGTATTAGAATTCCGAAAAATTTCAGGCACCATATTCCAACGAAAATATCCACTTTGGCCACTTCCGAATACATTTGAACGATGCTTTTGTGTAACATGTGTATGTACGAAGAAAGCAAAGGACCCATTTTCCCAAAACGGATTGAAAAATGGACTTAAATGGATTCAGAAGGGATTTATTTTCGTGGCATCTGTACGTAGGTATGCACCTCGCTTAACTCAAAAAGGAATAACCTCAGAGCGATGACATTTTGTATATGGAACTACTTTAACATGTAGTTGTCCACCTCCTTTTTTGGTTGCAATCGACCGCACCGAAAGATATATATATACAAGCTTATAGCTTAGATGAAGAAGATTAGAAGCTTGTATATAGCTTAAATGTTTCATTCTTATATGTTGGTAAGTTGTACATTTTTTGCTTTACAAGTGATTGAATGATATTCTTCTTATGCTCCATTTAAGGTTTTTATGTTTTTAGATAATCTGCATGCAATAGTTGTAGACTTATCAACAATTTAAAAGTTGTTTAAATGCTACTAAGCCTCACAAAGCAGCCATTTGTTAACATTTGCAGGTCTTAGTAGACTAATAAATTGAGCTAATTTTTGCTTTTTCAGTATCTTTTTGCGCTGTGGGAGCAAAAGTAAAATTTTAGTCTATTTCACAGAAAATCTGCTTTCTTGCCATCTAGCCGAATTACTTCTTTTTGTGTAGAAACTCTAATTTTAATTGCAGAAACTGTTCTTTTAACAGTTTATTGTAATTGTTCTTTTATATTTCTTTGATTTTACAATTTTTAATGAAGACGTTATAAACTTTTATATAATTTTGTCTTGCCGCCAAGTGAGAGCTGAATTAACTGAATGAGAAATATATATATCTAATGAAATTCGAGGAAATAAGCTTAAATTATTTGCAGCAAAAAATACGTATAATTTAATAGGCTCTGAAAGGAAGTCGTGGTTTACACATAATTTATTTTGGTGTGTGTGACCAGAGTGTCAATATTAATTAGCTTTTCTTGTTTATTCATCATTCAGGTTTACATTTTTTTATGTAATAATCCATTTTTCTTCTCAGATCGGATATAGCGAACCGAACTTCTGATGCCTTAGAGTTCATTATAGGGGGTTCGACAGTATTTTAAAAATTAATAAACAATTTTTTGGAACACAAAAACTGAATAACTAAATTACTTCTTCGTATTCTTCATCTCGCATCCATCCGCTGAGCCTGAAATACGCCGGTCCAAGACGTCGCACTGTGAATGCTCCATTACGGATTCTAGGAATTTCACAACTTTCTGAAATGAAAATTATGAAAATTTAAGGAAAAAAATTGGGGAAACGTTTCCTTTGAAACTTATAATTATTTTTCCATTTACATTTAAATGAGTAATCCTCCCTTTAAAAGGAAGCATTTTTGAGTCGTACCACAGTTGAACTTACGATCAAATTTTATTTTATTAAATATAAATATAAAAACTTACATCTATTATAGAAAATATGACATTTTAGTTGCGTTTGAAGAGCAATTGTTTAAGTTTTCTTAATATGAATATAGAAGTTCTTACTCAGAATCGAAAAATGTACACTATAACACGGTAGGGACAGTGTGTTATCAGTAAAGCTTTGTGTTGCCACTCTGCGAAGCGTAAGCTGTAAATGTTTGAAATTTAATCAGAAAACACGGCGACAAAAAAAAGTTTTGCCACTGCCCGAAATTAAAATATCTTTATCTCCCACGCGGCAATGTTTTGCGGTAAGAGAAACACAAGATATTTAATTTTCCTTTCAAATTTTTTATTATTAATTAACAAGCTAAGCTATTTAAAAGCAATAAACGCAGATTCATTTCTTCAATTGTTATTAATAACAAACTCGATCCTTTAAATAGCCCTAGTTGGATTCATTGAAATCATCAATACGTATATATGGGAAAAAAAAAAAAAAAAAAAAAAAAAAGCGCGTCCGTTTGTTTGTTTATGAGTGGGTATTTCAACACACGTATACACTTTTATTCCGATCTTAGAAATATTTCGAACACTCGACCTTCAAAACCAGAAGAAAGTATGCATAACAGTTCATAAGCCAGCCATCCCACGGCACCATACTCAGGGCATTTACGTTAGAATGTTGCGCTCATGAAACCCATCTTAAATTCACATCGCCGTTGTTGCATTTCCGCTATGAATGGAAGTTATACATGGTAAAAAGGAGTTCATAATACATCATTTACCCAAAACAAATATTAATAGTTCTAATCATTTTCAATTTTGACATTTCGTCGCCATTGTAGCCTTCCCGCTATCAGTTCTTGCTAAAATTACTAGATAGCGCAGTTTCCGTTTACTCTTTAGCCCAAAATGCAGCCAAAATGAAGCTCAAAGGTCATGGATTTTCCCAAGGTAATTCTGATATGAAATTTGTTTTGTGTGACATCCCTGACTTTCAGTCTGGT